GAAAGTAGATTAGGTTAAATGGATATTTAGGTGGAGTAGTGTAGGATGGAGTAGAAATGAATGAAGGGAGTAGTTTTAGGGATGGAGTAGTGTAGGGATGGAGTAGTGTAGGGATGGAGTAGTGTAGGGATGGAGTAGTGTAGGGATGGAGTAGTGTAGGGATGGAGAAGTGTAGGGATGGAGAAGTGTAGGGCTGAAGTAGTGTAGGGATGGAGAAGTGTAGGGATGGAGAATTGTCGGGCTGAAGTAGTGTAGGGATGGAGAAGTGTAGGATGCGAAGTGTAGGGAGGGAAAGAAGTGTAGGGATGGAGTAGTGTAGGGAGGAGTAGTGAAGGGATGGAGTATTGTAGGGATGGGTAGTGTAGGGATGGAGAAGTGTAGGGCAAAAGTAGTGTAGGGGGGATGTAGTAGTGTAGGGATGGAGAAGTGTAGGGATGGAGTAGTGTGGGGAAATGGATAAGTGTGGGATGGAGTAGTGTAGGGATGGATAAGTGTAGGGATGGAGTAGTGTAGGGATGGAGTAATGTAGGGATGGAGTAGTGTAGGGATGGAGTAGTGTAGGGATGGAGAAGTGTAGGGATGGAGTAGTGTAGAGAGGGAGTAGTGTAGGGATGGAGAAGTGTAGGGATGGAGTAGGGTAGTTAGGGACGGAGAAGTGTAGGGATGGATAGTGTGGGGATGGAGTAGTGTAGGGATGGAGAAGTGTAGGGATGGAGTAGTGTAGGGATGGAGTAGTGTAGGGATGGAGTAGTGTAGGGATGGAGTAGTGTAGGGATGAAGTATGTAAGGAGGGTGAAGTAGTGTAGGGATCGAAAAGTGTAGGGATGGAGTAGTGTAGGGATGGAGAAGTGTAGGATGGAGTAGTGTAGGGATGGAGAAGTGTAGGGATGGAGAAGGTGTACGGATGGAGGAAAGTGTTAGGGATTAAGTGTGAAGGGATGGGAGTAGTGAAGGGTGGAGTAGTGTAGGGATGGAGAAGTGTAGGGATGGAGAAGTGTAGGGATGGAGTAGTGTAGGATGGAGAAGTGTGGGGATGAAGTAGTGTAGGGATGGAGAAGTGTGGGGATGAGAAGTGTAGGGAGGAGAAGTGTAGGGATGCATTAGTATAGGGAGGGAGTAGTGTGGAAGGGGTGGAGTGAAGGGAAGGAATAGTGTAAGGATGGAGTAGTGTAGGGATGGGTTGTAGGGATTGGGGAATATTGTTAAGAGGGGGTAAGAAGGGGGTAGTAGTGTAAGGGGGGGTGGAGGGGAGTAGTGTAGGGTGGAGGGGGAGTAGTGTAGGATGGAAAAGTGTGGGGATGGAGAAGTGTAGGGATGGAGAAGTGTAGGGATGCATTAGTATAGGGATGGAGTAGTGTAGGGGTGGAGTGTAAGGAAGGAATAGTGTAAGGATGGAGTAGTGTAGGGATGGAGGGGAGTAGTGTAGGGATGGATTAGTGTAGGGGTGGAGTATTCTAGGGTGGAGTAGTTTTAGGGATGTAGTGCAGGGATGGAGATAGTGTAGGGTTGGAGTAGTGAAAGGGGTGGAGTGGTGTAGGGTGGAGTAGTGTAGGGTGGAGTAGTGTAAGGATGGAGTATTGTAGGGATGGAGTAGTGTAGGATGGAATAATTGTAAATGGGGAGTAGTGTAGGGGGGGGGGGTGTAGTAGTTAAAGGGGGTGAAAGCAGAAGTAGTGTAAGGATTGGAGTAGTTGTATGGGTGGAGTGTGTGGGGTGGAGTCTTGTAGGGAGGGAGTAGTTTTTAGGGATGGAGAGTGTTGGGATGAAATAGTGTAGGGATGGAGAAGTGTAGGGTGGAGTAGTGTAGGGGAGGAGTAGTGTAGGGATGGAGTAGTGTAGGTATGGAGTAGTGTAGGGATGGAGAAGTGTAGGGATGGAGTGTGTAGGGATGGAAAAGTGTAGGGATGGAGAACTGTAGGGATGGAGGAGTGTCGGGCTGAAGTAGTGTGGGGATGGTATGGGTGTAGGGATGGAGAAGTGTAGGGATGAGTAGTGTAGGGATGGAAGTAGGGATGGAGTAGTGTAGGGAGGGAGAGTAGTGAGGGAGGGGGAGTAGTGTAGGGATGGAGAAGTGAGGGATGGAGAAGTGTAGGGATGGAGTAGTGTAGGAGGGAGTAGTGTAGGGATGGAAAGTAGTGTAGGGATGGATAAGGTAGGGATGGAGTAGTGTAGGGATGGAGTAGTGTAGGGAGGGAGAAGTGTAGGGATGGAGTATGAAAGGGATGGAGTAGTGTAGGGATGGAGTAGTGTGGGATGGAGAAGTGTAGGGATGGAGAAGTGTAGGGATGGATAAGTGAAGGGAATATAAGTGTGGGATGGAGTGTGTAGGGATGGAGTAGTGTGGGGATGGAGAAGTGTAGGGATGGAAAAGTTAGGGATGGATAATGTAGGGATGGAGTGTGTAGGGATGGAGTAGTGTAGGGATGGAGAAGTGTAGGGAGGGAAAGTATGTAGGATGGAGTAGTGTAGGGATGGAGTAGTGTAGGGATGGAGTAGTGTAGGGATGGAGTAGTGTAGGGATGGAGTAGTGTAGGGATGGAGTAGTGTAGGGATGGAGTAGTGTAGGGAGGGAAGTAGTGAGGGATGAAGTAGTGTAGGGATGGAGAAGTGAGGGATGGAGTAGTGTAGGGATGGAGAAGTTAGGGATGGGTAGTGTAGGGTGGAGTAGTGTAGGGATGAAATAGTGTAGGGATGGAGAAGTGTAGGGATGGAGTAGTGTAGGGATGGATAGGTAGGGATAAAATAGTGTAGATGGAGTTGTAGGGAGGAGAAGTGTAGGTTTGGGTAGTGTAGGATGGAGAAGTGTAGGGCTAAAGGGTAGTGTAGGGTGGAGAACTTTTAGGGATGGAGGAGTGTCGGGTGAAGTGTGTAGGGTGGAGTAGTGTAGGGAGGGGAGAAGTGTAGGGAGGAGATTTGTAGGGAGGGAAAGTAGTGTAGGGAGGAGTAGTGTGGGGGTGGAGTAGTGTAGGGATGGAGAAGTGTAGGGATGGAGTAGTGTAGGGATGGAGTAGTGTAGGGATGGAGTAGTGTAGGGATGGAGAAGTGTAGGGATGGAGTAGTGTAGGGATGGAGAAGTGTAGGGAGGGGAGTAATGTAGGGATGGGATTTATTTGTAGGGATGGAGTAGTGTAGGGATGGAGTAGTGTAGGGATGGAGAAGTGTAGGGTGGAGTGGGGTTGTAGGGATGGATAAGTGTAGGGATGGAAAAGTGTAGGGATGGAGTAGTGTAGGGATGGAGTATTTGTAGGGATGGAGAAGTGTAGGGATGGAGAAGTGTAGGGATGGAGTAATGTAGGGGATGGAGTAGTGTAGGGATGGGAGTAGTGAAAGGGATGGAAAAGTGTAGGGATGGAGTAGTGTAGAAAATGGATTTAGTGTAGGGATGGAGAAGTGTAGGGATGGAGTAGTGTAGGGATGGAGTATGTAGGGATGGAGTAGTGTAGGGTGGAGTAGTGTAGGGAATGGAGTAGTGTAGGGATGGAGTAGTGTGGGATGGAGTAGTGTAGGATGTGTAGTGTGGGATGGAAGTAGTGTAGGGATGAAGTAGTGTAGGGATGAGAAGTATGTAGGGATGGAGTGTTGGGATGGGTAGTGTAGGGATGGAGAAGTTAAGGTGGAGAGTGTAGGGATGGAGAGGTAGGTTAAGTAGTGTAGGGATGGGTAGTTTTAGGGATGGAGTAGTGTAGGGGAATGGAGAAGTGTAGGGATGGAGTAGTGTAGGGATGGAGAAGTGTAGGGCTGAAGTAGTGTAGGGTGGAGAACTGTAAGGATGGAGAATTGTCGGGCTGAACTAGTGTAGGGATGGGTAGTGTAGGGATGGAGGAAGTGTAGGGATGGAGTAGTGTAGGGATGGATAGTGTAGGGATGGAGTAGTGTAGGGATGGAGTAGTTTTAGGGATGGAGAAGTGTAGGGATGTAGTAGTGTAGGGTGGAGTAGTGTAGGGATGGAGAAGTTTTAGGGATGAAGAAAGTGTAGGGATGGAGTAGTGTAGGGATGGGTAGTGTGGGGAAATGGTGAAGTGTAGGGATGGAGTAGTGTAGGGATGGAGTATATGTGGGAGGGAAGAATGTAGGATGAAGTAGTGTAGGGATGGGAGAAGTGTAGGGATGGAGTAGTGTAGGGATGGAGTAGTGTGGGGATGGAGAAGTGTAGGGCTTTAGTAGTGTAGGTTGGAGTAGTGTGGGATGGAGTATTTGTGGGGATGGAGTAGTGTAGGGATAGAGGAGTGTAGGGATGGAGCAGTGTAGGGATGGATAAGTGTAGGGTTAATAGTGTGGATGGGTAGTGTATGGCTTAATTTAGGTAGGGATGGAGTAGTGTAGGGATGGAGTAGTGTAGGGATGGAGAAGTGTAGGGATGGAGAAGTGTAGGGATGGAGTAGTGTAGGGATGGAGTAGTGTAGGGATGGGAGTAGTGTAGGGATGGCGTGTGTTGGGATGAGTAGTGTAGGGATGGAGTAGATGTAGGGATGGAGTAGTGTAGGGATGGAGAAGTGTAGGGGGGGAAGTGTAGGGCATAGTAGTGTAGGGATGGATTTAGTGTAGGGATGGAGTAGTGTAGAGATGGAGATAGTGTAGGGATGGAGTAGTGTAGGGATGGAGAAGTGTAGGGATGGAGAAGTGTAGGGCTTAAGTAGTGTAGGGATGGAGAAGTGTAGAGGTGTAGTGTAGGGCTGGAGTAGTGTAAGGGGTGGAATATCAGTATCTCCATTCATAACATGGGTGTCTATGGGAAAATAAGTTCAGTTTCTATATATGCTGGTAGAATTACCAACAATAAAGTGTCACATTAGTTGCACTTGTGTCCTTTTACTTTACAAGTTCAGTTTCGAACAAAAGACTTGTATAAATATTCAGTTACACATTAAATTTAATGGGAGATCTTCCCTACTCACACCAGCACAAATTCTGTAAAAGCTACATGTTAAAATATAAGATACTCAGATGCAGCAGATAACATCATATGGAAAGAACACCTCAAACTGGTTTTGCAGACTTACCCTGCTTATGTCTACTTCTGATTGCCATTTGGGCCTATTAACATAATCTTTTCCCGATGGGCGTGGCACACGCGCTCTGTAGCACCAACCAGGATCACCTGGGCGCAGAGGTTTCCTGGCGAGATAAACAAGCTTTAAGTGTTGTTCTAAATGGTGTTGAAATAACAAAAAAAAAGCACAATACCGTGACTGGAACAATACACAAATAACCTGCACATAGAAGAGAGGAGCTTACAACAACGTACAAGTCAGACAGAAATGTTGTAAGTTTCTCTCTTCTATGTGCGGGTTATTTGTGTATAGATAGTGTTGAATTCTAGTCATGCACCTCTTAAGCCACTTCCATGATGCAATGAGCTTATAGAAACAATACATTCCACAAATATCACTGAAAACTATGAATCTTGCCATGGTAAAAAGTAGTAATGACTAGGCATGAACTGTATACGTAATTAACACAAGTTCCTGTTGAAAGAGTTAACTGGTAAATGGAGACCAGTGGAGGCCTTCTGTAAATTTAAAACATTTGTCATAATCATAAAAGTCAGGAAAACCTTAATAAAATTTAGAGACTGTTTTAACCCTTTGACTGCTTTGGCTGTATATATGTCTTACAAGCCAATGTTTCTGACGTATTAATATGCGTAAATTCTAGCGGCTTCATATTAAGTATCACAATAGGAAAATGATAGCGGCAGCAGCGGCATCCTACCAGCTCTTCTTCCTTAAGTAACCATCGCTCATCAAAACTTGTGATGGCCTAAGTGAAGGTACAACTACATGAACCCATGTAGACCACAAAATGACCCAAAAATACTAAGAATGTAACCCAAATCTTGACAAAATTAGAAGATCTAAGGAAGACAGCCCTGCTAACCCAAACACTGCCTCCACTGCCAGACAACCACTTAACCCAAGCTCTGAGAAAACAAGCCTTCTCCTCCATAGCTACACAGTATCTACTTCAGTGATACTATGAAAGGATATCACAGAAGAAACAACATCAGTAATAAAAGATTAACAGCAAGGACCTAGAACTCAAACTTGTCTACCCAGCAGGAGCCGTGTATCATCAACCCCCCCTCAACCACTGCCACCCAGGGAACAACAAACATGGTGCCCCCCCCTCCCAACCCATCCCCTTAAAAGGATTCACCATAACTAGGTAGCATTCTGTAATATCAAGGACTACATTGTTGCTCTAGAAACCAAATCAAAGATATCAAAGAAACCCTTTGCGCGCCGGGAACCCCAAAGAAAACCCAACCCTGAGAAAACTAAACCTTTGAAGAGAAGTTTACACGGGAAGGTTGACACAAAAAATACTTGAAAGCAGCTATGCCAGTCAACAAAAAAATAAAAACAATAAATATAAAGGGTTTTGAAAAAGCAAAAAGGACGGGAAATAGAATCACACTCGACAAAGTAAATACCTTGATTTCAAGGGAGCAAAAGAAAAAACCCAAGTTTTTGAGCAGTTTAAAAACAGTCTACACTTCCTAGTGAAAAAACAAAGCACAGTCAAAGAAATGCTGTCGGGAAATACAGAACCAGTAAAATCATCGGAAAAACAATAAAATCAAAGAAACCCGTTTGCTGGGGAAAACCCGGGAAGTAAACACAGTAAATGACAAACTTCTTTCAATGATAAAAGAAAGGGCTAATTAAATCGCATTACAATGAAAAAGGAGTGCACTGAGGTCTAACAAGAAAATGTCAAAACTTTGTTCAGGCTGAAAAACTTCAAAAAAAACCCAAAATACATCAGTGTTTCACGTGAGTGGGAAAATACTAGTAGGAAAGCATAAACAGGACAAAAATATCCCACTCAAATGAACATGATTTCTCACCTTCCTTAAAAAAAGCTGACATTTCTGTAGCAGATTAATAAGTTTTTAATACATACTATTTTGTGGTGCAATAGTGTACTTACTATTATATGGGATTATTATTTTTTTATTTTTCATCACTACAAATGCCAACTACCCCCAATCTTTAACTTCTTTTTTGTTATTAATTTCATAATTTTTATGTTAAAAGTCAAATTTTTTACTCCAAATTAAATATTTTCATGTTTTTCCCTTTCCTTTTAAATTTTGTTTACCACAAATTGTTCTAGTCCCTTTTATTGTGTGTGCTTTTAGTGTATTTTCCCAAATTTACTTTTTTGCAAGCCCCCAAAACATTTTTGCTAGCGTCCAACACCTATTTTTTTTTTTTTTTATTGTGCAATAAATGTCAACTTTTTTAATATTACAAATCAGATCTTATCCTAAACCAAATTATTTCAAAGTCCTGTCCCTTTAACTTTGTTTCCCTTTTATTAATTTTTGCCCCCTTTTTTTTTTTCCCCTTTATTTTAGCTTTATATAACTCCCTAGTTCAAATATTCACAATTTTTTAAAAATAATCAAGGTGTATTCTCGGGTGCTAAGGTAAAAATTTCACTATTTTCCCATTATTTTCCAAAACTCATTTATTTGATTACCACTTTATTGTTCCCCACAACTTTATTAGTCCTTTTATTTTGTTTTCCCTTAATTAAACAAAAAAGAATTCCCTTAAAAATTATACCCTTTCATTTTCCCAAAGTCCATTATTTGATCATCACTTATTTTTTTCACCACAAATTATTTTGTGCCCTTTTTCATTTTTCCTTTTTTTTAGTTTTAAAAAAACCCCACTTAGTCATTATTTTTTTTCATTTGTTAAATAAATTTAGGTGCTATTTTTTTTGTTTTTTTAAAAATTTACTTTTTTTTTATACTTAATTCTAACAAGATTTACTACAAATCTTTTTAAAGCATTGTCCTGTACCCAAACCCTTTTTTAAAGATTAAAAGAATCAAAAAAGTTACTGTAATTACTTTTCCCGCAGAAAAAATCAAAAGGGACTCCTAAAAGCCAAAAACAAAAAACGTCCTTTTAATACAATATCAGATCTTTAAACAAGCATTACGATACCTCAAGCATTATAAAATTTCCTTGCTCCCAAAAAAATCCACATTTCACTAACGAAAAAATGGCAAAGCCCGATACTATGAGCTATGCCATTCCTGGTTCACGCCTAAAACTGTACCGCCAACAAGGGGGTGGCCAGTATATATACTAAACCCAAATAGAAAGTTCATAATATTGCCAAGGGAGAACATGGGGAATTTAATACTAAATTCAAATCCAAAAAACCTACAAAACCCCCGCATTGATAAAATCTACAGAGTTCCACAGTCAAAATTAGCCAATGATTTAGTCAAAAAAAGGAGTAGATAAATGATGCACAATGAACAAAAATCATTCACTCTCAGGGGATTCAAATAAATTCCCAAGCCAGGACCACACGTTAGGAAACACAAACCAATGATAAATGTTGTACCAAAAATAAAAAAACCTACAAGATTACAGGACTAGTGTTTCCCTACTTGCCACATCGGACCAAAAACCTATCCCCTTTAAACAGGCATATTCCAGATAATCCACAGCCAACCCCAAATTTCCTCATAACAACTTTGGTAATTACCCCCAAAACCTACTAAAGTCACCTTCAGACTTTATTCACAAGAGGGAGCTTAATAACTTAAAAAACATATAACAAAAAGACTGGCACATGAGCTAGAAGCTAACATTTGACGAATGTATTTAAAATTTTCTAAAAAAACCAAAAACCTCTATAACAAGCACGGCCTAAAAAAAATAAAAGATGACAGTAAGAGATGAAAAGTCTGGCTAAAAACCCGCATTCTCAAATCCATAAATACAAAAACACCTATATGAAAAACAGTACGAACGGGTCAATAACCCAAAACCCAAAAAAAAATTATCTTTTTCGCAACCTAACCGCCCGATAAGAAGGGCAAAAAAATTGTATTATGAGAACAGATTATCCAACTTCAGGGGGTATAAAAAAAACCTGGAAACCCCCTTTAAAAATTTTGGAACAAAAAAATATCACGAAAAAAAGGAAATTAAATTAGCAAAACAGATGAACCCCCAAAATCCACCAAAAAAACAGCAAACAGACCAAATTTCTTCACTACGGAAAAAAAACCCTTTCCAAAAAATCCCAAACCCGATCCCCCCCCAAAGAAACCTACTGGGAAAATACCGAAAACTGTTCCCAGCTCGCTAACCCATCGAATCTCCCTTATTATAAAAACCCCTAAAAAACAAACAGGAGATTTAAAACCTTACCCCCCTTTATATACAAAAAGTGTCCCAAATGTATCACCACTTGCAACACCTTTTAAAAAATCCATTGAAACCCTACCTTCCCCACAGTTCTCAAAATAGCAAGGGTTTACCCAGATCCATAAAGGGGAGACCAAACAAAATTTAAAACATAAAGGCTAATACCAATTCACCCTCCTCAAAAATCTTCGAAAAATTAATTCATAAAAGAATTACTCCTACCTCATCTCCCAAAACATACTCAACCCCTGCCAATGGATTCGGGCCTAATAAAAATACTAATGATGCTATTATACACATGCTAGAACATATATACACTGCAATAGAGAAAAAAGAAGTCCCACTGGGGATCTTCATTGGACTTACGTAAAGCTTTTGATACAGCTGACCATGACTTGCTCCACATAAAATTGTCACACTATGGTACAAGAGGGCACTCCCTCAACTACCTCAAAATCATACCTCAGCAACAGAAGCCCATATGTGTACACAAATGGGCAAAAAACTCTTCCGCACAACCAATTACAGTTGGTGTCCCTCAGGGAAGTGTCCTTGGCCCTCTTCTCTTTCTCCTATGCATAAATGACCTACCAAATGCTTCGCAATTACTCAAACCCACACTATTTGCAGATGACACTACATATGTCTTCTCTCACCCGAGCCCAGTCATGCTAGCCAATACTGTAAATACCGAACTACAGAAAATATCTACCTGGATGAGGACTAACAAGCTTACACTAAACATTGACAAAACCTACTTCATTCAATTTGTTAACAGAGCTACAGATGTCCCTCGTAACATAATGATAAACGGATCACCTATCACAAAGCTAACAGAAGGAAAATTCTTAGGAATCCACCTTGATAATAGACTCAAATTTCATACACATATACAACAAATTTCTAAGAAAATTTCCAAGACAGTAGGCA